TTAAATTTCAGCGGTTTTCAAATTCGGGTACGGCGTGCCGTACGTAATGCGGCTGGTGAACAGAGCTTGCATTATACGTAGCGTGTCGTGCTCTTTGAGTCCGTTTCGTTGATTCGCGATCCTCTTGACGAGGTGCGTGAGTTGTGATAGTGTCCGTTGGAGTCTCGGTATGGTGGCAGCTCCCGATCCATCCTTGTAGATGTGAACTCCAAGCACTCGCAGGGTCTCGACTTTTGGAATTAAGGTCTCTTTCAGCGTTACGCTAGGGTCGGGCTTGTCGTATAGAGGGGGTCTGCCTCTTGTTCTCGCTTTGAGGACGAGGTGCTCGGATTTCTCGGGGGCACAGCAGAGACCGCAGTCTCTGAGATACCGTTCGATGGCATCTACGGCGGTTTGTAGGCAAGTCTCTTGTCTCCCAGTATTCGAAGCCCTGGTCCAGAGCGTTATGTTATCAGCGTAGATCGCGTGCCGTAAATCAGGTATTTTGTCGAGAATTTTCGGCAGATTGATCGTAGCCACATTGAAAAGTAACGGCGAGATGACCGAACCCTGCGGCGTTCCTTTTTTTGGTAGTTGGAAGCTTTTGTTGCGGATGTTGCATATGCCCACAGTTGCCGTCCGGTCCGTCAGAAAGTTTCTGACATACGTGTAGGTTCTAATGCAGCAGAGGCTCGAAAAATTTGCAGCGAAACGAAACAGTGCGAGACACATCCGAACGTACCGCGAGCCGTTACCTGCCGTCGCAACCGTTGGCCACCGTATATTTTGAAATCAGGATAATAATTTCGATATGCTGCTGCTGACCTCCAGTCAGCTGAAACAAAAACTATTACAAAAATTGATGACGCAGCACATGTTTAAGAAAAACTACTTGCTATAAGAATTACTTGTTTTTTATCTGTAGCGGTACGCAAAGATGTAGTATTTGATTCTTTTAGAATTGAAATTTGGCCCCGAGGGCGGCGCCCATACAAAAAAAATTCAATTACGCGAGTTGGGAGAGAGATCAGTATATCTACTCTAGGTGTTTGAAACAGAAACGCGCCGCGGTTGATTTTTTCGCCCCCTACAGGTGATCACTTGAACTTGAGAGTTTCCGGGACCTGGTGCGAAGGCATTCGGGTGCGCAACGCCGCGCGCCGCCATGCCCGCAGAACCCAAGCATTGCGTAACCAGGAACACAACTCTCAACTCTCTCCCACGCGTGCGTTTTCCCTTTCTGCCTTTCCCTGACAAAAGCGGTGAGCATGGCACGCTGAACCCTCCAGCGGTTCGCTGAAGCCGCATTCGGAACCCTAGCACGCGCTTGTTTCAACGGCCCCTCTTGTATAATGAGAGTCAGTCCCTTAAAAAAAACAGTCGTGACAAAAGCAGGATTCGTATAGAACATAGATATATATAAACATATTTTTAAAGATGCTTCGGTAAATACAGGTGGAACCGCTTCAAAAAATTGAAACCTATTTAGAGGCTGAAAAGTTTACCTATCCGTGGCGTCGCTCGACCATCGATTAAGTGCGCACCCACCGGTTCTATTATGGGTTCTATTTTCGCAATTGATAATGGTGTTGTTTAGTTGAAACGTTAAAAAAGTTAATTTTTCTTTGTTCACCCAGCAAGTTGCACGTCAAAGGAACCCTGACTTGTCGCTTCAAAGGTGTTATTTTTATTCCGAAAGTAATATTAAATGGACTCTGTCGGGTGTTTGTGCCGTTGCCGTCCTGCTCCATATAAAGTCCAAAGCAACAACCCCCCCTCCCCCTTCGCGCATGTTATGGTCTACGCCCCAGTTAAAGGACGCCAACGCTGAGGATGACCGCGAGTAAAACATAGATTAAAAGAACTGGTTATCTCGGTCACACGGAAGGCACATGCGATCGATCCGCGTGCGAGGCCTAGCGTCGATCGTTCTTCAAGCACATCTCAAGAGGGAGTGTGAAGGGGGCCGCTTGGGAGGGGGGTACGTCGTTTGAGCAGCAACCGCAAACTTTGCTCCTAAAGGAAAGGTCACACGCGCTATCTCGTCGGACATCTGGAGACAGCTCGTAAACTTGCTGTGATCACAACGCTTCGTGTTCAGAGGATTCATAGCCCACAAACCAGCATTCTGAAGAGTTACGTGAGATCAAGCTAAAAAGTTGGCTGCCTGTTAGTTAGCTTCGTACGACATTCCAATTTGTTGCTGTCGCGTTCATTACTTTGTCTTTGCGGCGAAGCTGACATCTCTTGTGCTAGGTGAATGTACTAGCTGCCTATAGGTCTTAGAGAAAGATTTAGATGCTATAGCGTCCTAAATAAGTTACTCTAATGCATGATGGCATTAAGAAGTTTCAGGTATTGGTGCCCGGAACATAGTATCGATGGTTCCGTAAAGGTCACTTACAAGAGAAGCAAGCAAAAAAAGTAAAGACAAACAAAAACAAGAAAGACCCGCGTCATACGTACGATGTGCATAATTATAACAAGAGATGGTGTCATGAGTAACCTTATTAACACGCCACCAGCAAATTTTCTTCTGTGTCAGACATCATAATGGTGTCATTGGAGCCACATCAAGCGCTAGACATTCCAGAGGAATTTCAGTGCCGAAATTTAGTGTAGTTTTTATGTGAAAAACGGTATAAAGAATTTCGAGAACTTCTGCAGTGTGTGTCCGTGTACTCTTCTAAAGTAGCGACCAGAAAAAAAGTACTAGTTAGCCATGGTACTCAGCATGTTATTGGAAGCTTCTAGTCAAATACACATTTTATGTTATTTTCTCCAAGAACAATGCTACATATGTTCCTGCAATTCACAGCAGTTTATTCCACAGGCTTTGCGCACTGGCAGAGCCCACTCGACTTACACTATGCTTCCACCCATTTACAGCACTGGACAATTGAGTGAAATAGGCAATGGTTAGTCTTAATCACGCCTGTGCTGAATTAAAAGAGCACTGATATCAAATTTACTCATGCCGAGATTTTCGCGTCAGCGAGGAGCTATAGACCCCGTAGCAGCGATTCGCAACCTCAAACGCAATTGAGGGATGCATAGGTATCAGTTTTATTGATTTATATCACTGGTATCTAGCACTATTAAAATGGCCGGCAATCCCGCCATTTTTAGCGCTGGTAGCACCAACAGAGGCGCTACCCCATGGTCACCTCCAGATCACGCCACAGCTGACCACTCTTCCACAGAAAAGAGTGACGCCAGGTTCAGCTGCTCCGCAAACTTTTCGTCTGCTAGGCGGACACATTCAGGCATGCCTCGTCACCTGCATTGCTCTCGTCGCCATACAAAGTGTCTACTCGGGTTCAATACGGTAGTCTGGAGCTTGGAATCCCTGCGATTCGCGACGTCGCGAATTATTTTTGCTACAATTGGCTTTTTGCAGAACAGTGATTACGAAATGGACGCCGTTCCAAGCAGCACTGCAGAGGTGCCCGAGGATGCACGCTTCAGCCATGTTCACTCTTGTGTCTCAGTTAGCTATATTGGTGTGTTCTGGTGTGCAAAGTATTCAAGTATACGCAGAGGGGTCAATTCAATGTAGCTATCGCGAATGAGCATCAGCGGAGAAATAGAATAAGTTTCTTGCTTGCCAGGTTCTTTTTTGCGCCTCCAGATGGCCCCACCTATCCAGCCTCTCACGGTTAACACGGTGTTACTACTTTTACGTGGATGCAAAGTCTACAGAAAAATTGAACGATACCTCCGTGTGAATTGTTAGACATGATATCTGGTTATACGCCGTTCCACTTTTGATAGCTTGTGGTCGTGTTGATGTATAAACATACGGGATATGAAAAGACACGCTTATTGCGCTTTTTATGTGCTTCGAAATAGACGACTGCAGCTCACCTGCAACTCACAACGATTCCCCGACATGATGACCAACAAGCACACGTACAATCAGGCTCTTTTCTTTCGCCGTTCTTTTAAAGGTGGTTTTTATCTTGATAATTTTACGAAATCATTTACACCGGTGCGACAAAGATCAGACGCGATGAGCAAGTGCGTTGCTACGCTTCGGCGCAGGATAAGAACACTCGGATCATACACGTCATCGCTATAGGGCTAGGGCATCGTCACTCAGGATGGTATTTGTGAAATGTATCACACCGAACACGTAGCACTAGTATCGATGTCGCAAGGCAGTCTATTTTCCGTTTTTTTCTCCTTAGCTTTGCTGTGCTGTTTGACATCGAATTAAAATAAGTTGCACGCGATGGATGCCGTTCAAATTGGGCCAAGAATACCTCTGATACCAAGCGATCGAATAATAGGCACATCTGGTTATCTACTATTCGCAAGTAAAACTGTGCATCAGGCTTATGTTTGATTATTGGTGAAGTACTATTTCTGTGACATTAGTTCATGCTTTCTATTAACATGTATTTTCAATCCTTGACTAGACAGTCATCGTTAATCATGAAACTAGTATTAGTTAAAATAAAATAATATTCAGTTATTTTTGTGGATGTTGTGTGGCTCAATATGCGCACGAACTGTTTGCCATCTTGCATTTTAAATTCGGTGATGAGAGTTTCTCTATAATAATGTGGTAGCACCAAATGAAACCCATTAGTTCGGACAGAATAGTGCAACTGAGTGCGTGCATTTAATCAGGGCAACTCAGAGGAGCCATTCAATTCTTAGTTTTCAGTAACGATGGTAACAGCGAGTGTCTCATTTCAAAACATCGTTTCTAGCAGTTTGTCCTTCTATTTTTCTCTGTGGCCTTTACTAGTAAACAAAAAGCCCGCATTTCATCATGTGTGAGGGCAAAACAGTAATATTAGGCTTCGTACAGAGACAGTTTGTTTATTGCCATTCCATAAATTGAGGTATTTTTATTGAATATATTCTCAAAAACCAGACTAAAACAGGCGAAAGGTGTTCATAGAAATAGAGAGAAAGCAGTAGGGATGGCACGCTCTTGGAAGCCGTATTTTTTGATACTCTGTATTGTATATAAAGAATAAAAGTGATTTACAAACAACGCGTTTCTTTAGGCGGCTAAGCAACTGGGTGTCCTGGCTGGTCCCAAAGAGGTCACGGAGACCTCTCTGGATGTGTTACGTAAGTAATATTCATTTCATATTTTTGTGCGATGGTTTGCTATATATAGCCAATGCTACGGACCTTAAAAGCATACTTTGAATCAGAAAGGGGTAAAAAAAAGAAATGGTTGTTTAACATTCATTGCCCCCCCTTCCAAAAAAAGAGAATGTAGTATCTTATAAAAGGTGCCTATACACTGAGCGTCAATTTCCATTTTGTGCAGACTAGTTAACGTGTTGTAGAGCTAGGTTGTACGAGATAGACGCGTCTTTTCAGTAACAACGTCTACTTTATTCCGACAACCAGAGAGTCGAAAATAGAAAAGGTACACGCAGTGCACCGGAAGTGGAAAGAGTGAAAAAGACAAAGGAAAAACAGAGAGGAGAGCAGCAGATGGCTTGGAATGCTGCTCCGCATGTTTTTACGACCGCGGGGTGCGCAGTGGCGGCCGCGTCGCTGCAGATTGCTCCAGAGAAAAAGTTGGTGCGACGAACAATTCTCAGTTGTAGTGTTATCCTAAAGAACGTGACTGAGAGGTGGTGACGGGAGGAACACTGGCTAGGAGGGGCCCTCGTATCCAACGGAGGACGCTGGCTTGAACCGCTCCAGCGTGATTGTATCGCGTGCCCCAATAATGTCGAGGGCGAAGTAAGCAGGCCAGCACTCTAACACACGAAAGGGGCCAAAGTAGTGTGGTTGAAGCGGAACGCACACAGGGCCGTACCGCACCAACACGTGTGTCGCTGTTTTGGGGTCCTGAGCGATGTATGCTGCACGTGGCTGGCTGCGAGTAGGCTGTGGACGAATGTGTCGAAAGACGTCGCGCAGCTGGTCAACGTACTCTGTTGCTGTTAGTTGGATGGCACTACCACTTTCTTCAAAAACATCGGCAGGCAGGCGAAGCGAAGTGCCATAAACAAGCTCAGAAGTGGAGCACGAGAGGTCCTCCTTGAAAGAAGATCACATTCCTAGTAGCGTGAGCGGGAGGCGGTCGACCCACCTGTCGGGATAACCGTGTGCTGTGAGTGCTGCTTTGAGGTGCCGGTGGAATCTCTCGACGAGAACGTTTGTTTGTGGATGGTATGACGCTGTACGCAGGCATGAAATACCAAGAAGTTTCAGGAGCTCGGAAAATAGAGAAGATTCGAATGGGCGACCCCGGTCCGATACAATCGTTGTTGGACAGCTGAATCGGAATATCCAGGTAGAAACAAAAGCCGCTGCGACAGTAGCTGCAGACATGTCGGGCGAAGAATCACTTCGGGCCAGTGAGTGAAACAATCTACACAGGTCAGAAGGTATCGATAGCCTTGGCATGGGGGTAATGGGTCAACGATGCCAATATGCACAACGGCGAAACGTTCGTCGGGTTGCAATAAGGGTAACTTAGAAGTGTGGCAGCTTGGGCTAGTTGGTATGGAATGACGATAGTTATAGCGCGAGAACAAAACGACGACACAGAGACAAGAAGTACACGAAAGACACGAGCGCTAACTTCCAACTGAGTTTATTGCGCAGAGCACGAAAATATATAGAGGAGACAGTGACCATGTGATAAAAACCATATGGCACAAGAGCAGAACATGAGTAAGAAAAACAAAAACAAACAACACAAAAACTAAGGCACTGAAAAACAGCAAAGAAAAAACCTAGAAGAAAACGAAACAGAAAGGTAAAGATAAAATAACTACCTGCCCGCACCGAAACCTTCGAGGAACCTGCGTTCCTTCTCGGACAAAGCCACGGAGGGCTTGCTAATACAAGGCACCTGTTCGCGTGCCATCTGCGTAGCCTCGACAATGACCCGGGTGCTTACATCTCTGTGTTCAGCATCGCTGTGTCCTCGAAGAGGGGAACACAATTGCACTCAGTGCAGTGCTGGACAAGAAAACCATCTTTCCCGTTTCTAACATTGTTCGCGTGCTCTCTCAGCCGATCGTTCAGACACCTTCCAGTCGTTCCTACATAACAAGCACCACATGAAATGGGGGTTCTATAGACGACTTCCCGGGAGCAGGCCGCATACCTGTTTCGATGTTGAACTCTGCATTCTGTTGATGATTTCGTTTTCAGGGGGTTGGTAGATTTGGTGAGGCTGATTAATTTGAACGGTGCCGAGAACAGGACACGAACTCCAACACGTTTTCTGATAGGCTCAAAAAAAAATCGGAAAACGTGTTGGAGTTCGTGTCCTGTTCTCGGCACCGTTCAAATTTCAAATATTGTGAACTACTTCAAATAGTGTGTTCAAATATTGTGAACTACTTCATCTACCAAAAACGCTGGGGTCGTTAGTCATTGGGATGCAGATGTTCCACTAGGCGTCAATGTTGGTGCATCCACGTACAATGGTGCTATAACTTCAAAACGATAGACATTGTACAAACTTCCATGCATAAAGGTACAATAAACAATCAGCTACTCCTGTGAAGGCACAGTTTATTTTTGTGTTATACTGTCACACATGTCCCGTTTATGAGGGAGGCAATCGCCGGGCTAATTCCAAGAGCCGAAGTATCGGCCCCCCGAACCGCACCACGAAAGCGTGGACAATTTGGAAGTGGTCCTTTTTGGCGCGCCAGCGGACGCCGGTTGTGGCCCAAAGAACAAGTCAGAGCCGAGAGTTGATAAACAGAACAAATATTATATTCTCGAAAATGGCAGATCGAAAACAATACACAAGAATGCACACTCCGCAATAGTTACATACAATACGTCACCAATCAAACAACGTACTACACAGTACAATCAGCCACACTCAAAACAACGGACACAGACAACGATACGCACTACAATGCAGTCGCATGCATTGAACAACCAAGACACTTAAGGACTAAAGAGATAGAAAACCTATTCAGTCCAAAGTCCTTGGAGCAAAAGTCTAGATGATACTCTTCCGAGAATCACTCACTCAAAGTCCCGCGTTGTTGTCGTTCCGCGCCCTCGAAGTTTCTCTTCCAGGAAACCTCGCGTCTTCAATTGGCCACTCTCCAAGCTCCCAACTTCTTCGCCCGAACACGTTGGCTTCACTCACGCAGCTGTCGCCACGCGTCCTCGCTCGATAGCGGTAAACACACACTCTTGCCTGTAGCTCGAGTCGTCACCCCTCAGGTGCAAATCATCTTCTTCTCCCGCTTTTTCGCTACCGACAAAAACTTCGCCGACTACACGGCGGTATACCCTACGCGCTCTGGCGCTAACTTCCGTGTCCTCCTGATCTCTCATCTCGGCTGCTCGGTTAAATACCTTGCGCGCGACATTCCAGACGGTTCTCGTCATTTCGTCGGCGCGATACGCAGCGAAGGCTGGGAAGAGGGCAAGACGGTTGGCACGCCCTCCGCGGCCGATGACTCAACTCGGTATGACCACGCCCCTTTCGTTCTGGAACTTTCGCGGGCTATCTCGGCCGCCGATGTGGGGCGAGGAGGTTCGTCGGTGAAGCCACGCTTCCGAGGGGAGAGCGCGCGCCCCGGGGAGCCTTTAGATGTTTGTTTTCTTTTTTTTTCTTTTGACCTCGCGGCGCTTCTCCCGCCCGTTATCGCAAGAATTTGGCGGCGCGCCCATTTTTAGCGCTCGTTCTGTGACACTGCCCCCCACTTTAAGAACATCATCTCATAATATTCAAAACCACACAAACGAGCGCGAAAAGTCACCACACACTCTCACAGACTGTAACACAATCCATCGCTCATGACACTTCACATTCACAATATATCCCTCAATACGATTGGACATTACATTCAATCTCACACACATGAAATATAACCGCAGGTACATGAGTACAACTCTTCATCACACATTCCAAACAATACAATTGTACAAGGTTCTGTCTATACAACAATTGTACAACACTATACATCACATCACCTTAAGAAACATTTTGATTTGCTCAACACCGGATAACACAATAACAACACAGCCTATTGCGTTCACTGCTGTCAGACACTTCCAAAACATTCAAACTCGGCTAAGGTAGTCGGCACCAACGTTCTCGCTTCCCTTGATGTGCTCGACTCGGAACTGATACTCTTGCAGAAGCAAGCTCCACCTCAACACTCTGCTGTTGAGCTGTTTAGCCTGTTTTATGTATTGGAGAGGCTGATGGTCAGTTTGGACCAAGAAAGGCGCTCCGTAGAGATAAATATTAAACTTCTGTATCCCCCACACCAGTGCTAGACATTCTCTTTCGATGGTGCTGTAGGATGATTCCCGGGGAAGTAGTTTGCGACTGGCGTATGCTATAGGATGCAGGGTCCCTTCGTGTGACTGCAAGTGCACAGCCCCGAGGCTGGTGTCGGAAGCGTCGGTGCGGAGGATGAATTCCTTGGTTAAGTCTGAGAGGCGGAGCACGGGAGGGCTCGAGATGCATTCCTTGAGTTTCGCGAATGCTTTCTCGTGTGTCGTCGTCCATTTTACTAATTTGCTTTCACCCTTCTTGATCAGTTCTGTGAGAGGGGCGCTGATCTCGGCATAATTTGGAATGAACTCCCGATAATAGCTGGTCAACCCGAGAAAAGCGCGTACCTGTCGCTTCGTCTTTGGGGCGGTTGCAGCTTGGATTTTGTCGAGAGTCTTTCCCAGTGGAGCAAGCATGTTTTGTCCAATGTGATGACCAAGGAAATCAATCTCATTCATTCCCAACTCACACTTGCTCGGTCTCACGGTCAACCCGGCAGCCTGAATTCGAGCGAAGAGTTGTTTGAGAGTGGATAGGTGTTCCTCCCAGGTCGTGCTTGTTATGAGTACGTCGTCATAGTAATGTTCAATGCCCGGGATTCCCTCGGTGACCAGTCGCATCAGCCGGGCGAATACGGCGGGTGCCGTTTTGATCCCGAAAGGCATGTAGCAGAACTGGTAGAGACCGGATTTTGTCGAAAACGCAGTCTTAGGTTTCGACTGCTGGGAGAGTGGGATTTGCCAGTAGCCCTTAGCAAAATCTAACTTAGAGAAGTATTTTTTGTTTGTGGCACTGGCAAAAACGGCATCTGCTCTAGGCATGGGCTCTGCATCTGCTATTA